GTTTCTTGTCTTGTTTTTAGTTTTGTTTTATTCTTTCTTCATGTTCATTCATACATGGATATATGCATGCGATGGGGAGGGGGGAGGTCTTTGCATAATCGTTTCGGCATGCACCAAGTGGGCGACTCGTCCAAGTTGGGAGGTTTTATAGCGTGAGAAAAGGTGTGGCGAGCTTATTAGCGAACGCCTAAAAGACGAATTTTAATGTCAAGTTATAAACAGCGAATGTCTGCTTTGGAGTGACTGTGATTGTGTTGATGGATCCAATATGTAGCGCCATCTATAAGATGTTGAAAACTACACAACAAACGACATGTGGAATCAGCAATTTCTAATTGACGACAAGATGAAAAAGCCACGATAGTAGCTGTGTTATGCCTTCGGGTAATATTATTGACCACTTTGATTAGATAGATGACCTCTCAGTGGCAAGAAAAGAGTGCAAGTAGTAAACAAGTTGTTCCCCTAGGGTAGATGCTATGCGACACCGGCCGCAAGAGCCTGCATAACCAGCTCTTCTGAACCAATCAAGACTTACAAGCAGGATTTGCAACAGAATCCATGGATAGGTAGATTACGGGGTGACATGTTGAAGGGTAGAACCTGACAGTCTAGGCGTCACTATTCACGACTTCACAGGTTCACGGCGAGAAGAATTGCACATAGTTTTAACCCAAAAAGAACACAACGCCCAGGGGAAGATGGATTGAAGTGACTTTTGATTTGTCCTTGATGTGAATGCCTGGTATGTGAATCATCCTTACACGCCGCAAACCGAAATGCAAGAGCCTTGTGCCAAATCCAGCGACTTTAAAAGTAGTAGATAAAAAGAACATTGCCCCGATTTTGATAAAAAACAACCCTCACCCCAGTTTCCCACCCTTTACCAATTCTTGTTGGACGAGGGGGGAAATAAATAAAAGAGGTTCTTTGGAGGAGGGGGGGAACAGATGTTTCTTTACCGCGCTCTATCTGATCGCATTCGGGACAGAAACCCAACCACCACGCACCGCACGCCCTTTTGTCTTTCCTTGATTCTCTTTCGCAAGCAAGCACTTTACATGACGACACCGGAGTTGCTGGCAATACGCTGGGGAGGGGGTTAGTACAGTGAATAATGAGAGTCGAATTTGAGGGGAGAACTTACGGGCCACAGCTCAGCAGCCTCCTTACCGACAGGGCCAGTGATGGCAGAGCCCTTCATCTCACCCTTGGGGTTGACGATCTACACATGCACGTTAGCATCCAATTGTCTGTTGTTGTGTGAATTGTACGTACAACACCAGCGTTGTCCTCAAAGTACAGGAAGACACCGTCGAATCGCTTCCAGGGCTTGGACTGTCGGACGATGACGGCGGGGTGAACCTTCTTTCGGAGCTCAGGCTTTCCCTTCTTGACGGTGGCCATGACCATGTCACCGACACCACCGGCGGGCAATCGGTTCAGGCGGGCACCGATACCCTTGACGGCGATGATGTAGAGGTTTCGGGCACCCGAGTTATCGGCGCAGTTCATGACGGCTCCGCTGGAGAGGGAGTCAGTTTGTTGGTTCGTTGGGGTTTAGGTAGTGGGAGGTTTTCGTACACAGGGAGACCCAGGGTCATCTTGAGCTTGCCACCAGGGGCACCACGGCTGTGAAGGTGAGTCAGTATCTTGTTCTTGTTTTCTTCAACATTGCGTCTGTGTCTCTGGTTCTCGTTCTCGCCATGCCGAATTTTCTGCCAAAGTCTGCCCGTCGGTGGAATCTGGACTTCGACAGTGTGTGTATGTCAAGCCATTGTCGTCGAAATCGAGTTGAAAAATTCAAGGCAGAAGCAATGAATGTCGTCGTCACAAGTCAACCCAGTGATGCCGTATTCCTCATGATATTGTCGTTGATTTTCGTTGTGTGCGCTGCACAAAATTGGTCGCCATGTTCCCCGCCAAACCCAGCACTCGAAATATTTCCAACTCTTTTTTGCGCATCGGAGCAAAGCCCATGCATGACGGAGGAGACAGACAGACAAAATTCGAGATGACGAGAAGCGAGAAGCGAGACGAGAGACCTATAGTGACACTCTTGAGGGCATTCGAGAGCTACTTACGAGATCTTGGCCATTTTGTCTGGAGGGTTAGTGTGGCGTTACTTCGTGAAAGAGGTCGTGGTCGGGTTCGGGTCTCAAGATGAACAAACTGACAGTAGCTTCAGTTTTCAGGGCAATTTTGATTTTTCGTGGGGGACAAACCCTAGACGAGGAAGGTGCGATCAATTCACGTGCGCCTGCAAAATGAGTCAGCCAATCAAACACCACCACCACCACTTACTTAGCACCCACCACCAAAGCACTTCAAAACACACACACTTTGTCTTAAACAGCCAATATAGTTCAAGCTTTCTCTCCCAGCTGCCATCAATCCGGCTTGATCCCCGGCGAAGCACGCCCGGTTAGCTCAATCGGTAGAGCGTGAGACTCTTAAGAGTTCACAATCTCAAGGTTGCGGGTTCGACCCCCGCATCGGGCTGTTCCTATAAATACATATTCATGATTGAGATGTGCTTTCTTTTTTTCACTTTTTGAGGCTTGTGTGTCGACATGAACTCAACGAGTCAGTGGTTGTCTTTCAATTCTCAACTCAAGTATATTAGTAGTATGCTTATATACAGCATTACAAGAGTTTAAAGTATCAGAGCTTGTGTATGTGTTTATGTGCAAAGCTCTGGTTGATGTCTCCAGTCTGCCCTGGAACAAGTATTCTATTAAGTAATTAAATTAAGATAACTACTATAGTTTTGATCTCTAATTATTTAAGCTTTATATAATATCAACTTCTGATTAACATTGGCCTTGAAGAAACATTCAATTGCTTGATAGTTGAAACTAGCTGGTGTATATCTAAGCTGGGTCTTGTTCTTGTGTAAGCCAGTGGTTTTAGCAGCAATACTAAGAACGTTGGCACTACAGCCATCTCTTCTTATTCTGAACGATAACAGGGTCCAGATTCTAGAATTTAAATACAACTTCAGTAACAACTTAACAAGATGCTCTACTTACTCTCGAGTCAGGGGAATATGTCTACGGCGAAGCGGGGTCTCTGGCCGGCCGGTCATTCGGAGCCGATCCAAAGCCATCACCAAGCGGGACCTCGGCTCGACGTCACTTGAACCGCGCTTCAGACCTCACATGCCCCTACAAGTATTGACTTATAGTCATGCTGCAAATCTATTGGCCATATATCAATCTCTATACCTACCTAGTTACTCCTCATGTCTTTGTTATTTCGTGTCACTCGACGGTCCCTGTCGCGTCAACTCTTCCGTGACACAAACTTGATCGCTCATAGACAAAACTTCAACTTCATACCCCGGATATATCTGCCTGCTATGACTTCACGAAGCCAATCATCCTCAGTGAACAAGCATCCGCCTTCAGAGCCGCGGCCAAGTTCCTCAGTTCTCCTAGTCTCGCCTGTCAATGAGGTCCTGCTACTTCACCGCGTACACACGTCTACATCATTCGCCTCAGCGCATGTCTTTCCTGGTGGAAATCTAGATCCTTATCATGATGGTATTATACCGGCTGAAGACTCGCCAGAGAGACACCATGACGGACTCGCGTATAGAACTGGTGCTATCAGAGAGACCTTTGAAGAGACTGGTATCTTACTGGCCAAGAAGGACAACGAGCTGGTAAACTTGACAGTAGAGGACAGAGACACTGCAAGGAAAATGATACACGGAAACCAAGTTAGGTTCCTAGAATGGCTAAAGTCAGTAGGCGCTGAGCCTGACTTGGGTAAGAATGAACGGCCATAGATTATGGTCAAGTGATTGTTGACTGAGAACAGATGGCCTCATCCCTTTCACGCGCTGGATCACACCCGCCACCAACACAAAACGCTTCACAACGCAGATGTATCTCTACATGCTACCACAGTCGCAAAGTGGTATGCCCTCAGAGATGCTAATTCCAACACCAGACAATGGCATCGAACACACGGCAGCCCTCTTCGCACCCGCGGAATCATTCCTCGCCCGTGCCGCCACAAATAACATCATCCTATTCCCACCGCAGTACTTCCTCCTAAGTATAGTAGCCAAAGTCTTCCAGAACTCAAAAGTATCATCAGATGGACAGGGTTCTTCTCAAATCACAGTGCAGAGAGAAAGCTTACTGTCCTTTCTGAGCCGGGTGCCTACAGCAGAGACAGAAAAGGGCCAGGCACACAAGACAGCCATGATTCCATGGGGCGAGAAAGTCATAAGTCCTCATAATCTTTTCATTAGAAAACAGGACAAGAGAATAGTTCTCGGATTGGACAAACCAGGACCAGAGCTCAGGGGCTCTGAGAGAGGTGGCGATTGGGAGCACGTGGTCCTTGTTAACTTTGGTAAAGGAGGACCGACCAATGTTGAAGTGAGGCGAAGAGAAGATGCCCTGGAAGAGGAGAGAAAGGTCAAAGCTGATAGCGAGAAGCTCTGAGTTTTCCTAGACACGGAAACCGTCGAATGATATCGAGGATGAGATATGCACCAAGTTAAATGAGCCAGTAGATCGCAAGGTAGAACAGACAACATACATCATCAAGAGACTCTAAATATGGGATATGACCTATCATCGATGGAAGATTTCCTTCTAGAACCAAGAGACTTATCCTGGCCTCTTATAATTTAGGAAGCTGAGGTAACTTTGGCATAAACTTCGTCTCATCGTCCCGAGAACCATCCTCAACCCCTCATAAATGGGTAGGAAGCTTTAGGCAAGTCAAGACATCCTACCCAAACTTCCAGTACAGGACATATACTTCCTGGGAGTCCTCCTTCCTTCTCTGCAGTCCAGCAACTCTTTCCCCAAGCCTAAGGTGCCTATAAAGCACTCGCTTCCCATCACTCCCAGTCTTTTCTTTCTCTCTCCCTCTCAACACTTTTTCTCTCAACTCTTAGGTAAATATCGTCAACGTATTTCATTTCCCAGAGCCCACCCCGTTTACTAAACTCTTTCTTTATCATGGCAGCTTTCAAGATGGAGCCTGACCCTCCCGCCCTCATGGCGATCCCAGGGATGGTACCTTACACGCCGTTCATTAGCTCCCTCCACCAACGCTCGGGGGTACATCAAAACGCGTTAATGGAAGTTCTCAGCCGCATGATCTACGGATCAAACATGATCGCGCGGGCAGGCGCAAGTCTCTCAACAACCTACAGACTTTGCTGTGCAGTCTTTGCGGAACAGGCTCAGGTCCCAGAAGAGATTGCCAAGAACGATGAGGTGTACGAAGAAATCAGACAACACCTGGAATTCAGGGGCATCCGCGCGACAGATAAAAGTATCTCGCGATCTTACCGGGAAACACTGCAGCACGCCCATGCTGCAAAGTACCTGATTCGAAAAATCGTCCTTGAGAGACAAGTCTTTGATGAGGACACCTTCAAAGAGGCACACCGTATTCTCACCTACAATATCGATCTCGATGAGCAAATGCCTTGGACAGCCTATGCCGGGAAATATTGCGTCTGGGATACGCCTCGTGACATGCGTTTCTTGGATCCAGCTCAGATCCCTACTGCAATGTCCCAGATGATCAACCAACTCATGGTGGAAATGACCAACATGGATATGCAAGAAGCCAGAGATGAGGATGTCTACGAGAGGGTCTGTTATGCCAGCAAATTCTGCCATCGCTTCATCCTGATTCGCCCCTTTTTAGACGGAAACGGGCGGATGTATCGCTTGTTCCTGACTACTCTCCTCCTCAGAGCTAGCATATGCCCTGCGATTTATGGACTTTATGCCTTTGATCGATTCAACCATTCGCAAGCCGAAGCTACTTGCTTCAGGCAGGACAATCGGGAATTGCTGGGGTGGATAGATCTTGATAACTTGGGGGTCAGTCATCATCTGGCAAAATTTGTTTTCGAACATATGCATGGCGGGTGGAACAGCCGGGACGACCACAGGACGACATTTCTAAAAGTCACGGGTCGGGGACAGTGGGATCCTTCCGCGCCAGAGATGGATTCTTAGTAAGGATGGTCTGAGTGATTTCACCTCATCAAAGATGGTCTAGAATTATTAATGTCCACCTCATGCTTATTCCGCCGGGTATCATACATAATAGATAGGCAAGGTAGCTAGCTACTCCCAATACACTCCGATGATCAATCAATATCGACTATCTGGCAACACAGTCTGTCAGTGACCGTGTATCTCAGTACGATCCTATCTACAAACCGCGAACATTCTGGCTCCAGGTATGCCAGTTGAAGTCGTCTCCAAGCATATCAACATCGTCCAAGCCCGTATTGTCGAAGTTTGAGTTTATCGACGGGAACTGCCCGCCCCAGAGGTAAGGGGGTGGGTTGTCGTCCTTGGGGAATTGCATGGTCTGTGGCGAAAACTGTTGGCCAGTATCTCCTGGTTGTGTCGTATCTTGCGGTAACTGGGAGGTGTTTGACATTGGCGTCATTCCTGTACCCATGGCCTTGATCTGAACAGAGCCGACGTCCTGCAGTGGCCAGAAATTTACCATGGGGAAGGGTGTGGTGTCTGCCATTAGGTCATTCATGTAGCCCATGGTTGTATCAGAGAGGTCGATCGTTCCCGGGACGTCGTAGGCTGATGGTGTCCGAGGGCGGGATGGTGTTTGCTCTTGTTTTGGCTGGAGCATCGACGGTGGCATGACAGGGCTCAGCTCAGCTGGCGTCGAGATTGGTACATTACTTCCGTCAGACCGCACCAGAACCTTCCATTTCTCCCTTATTTCCTCCATCTTGTTGGCTGCACCGTCCGCATCTTGCCCGAACCTGGCCTGGTATCTGGGATTCGTCCTTTCTTCGAATTCCAGCCGACGTGCTTCTTCGGGATTTCCGCGAAGTCGAGTGATTTCTGCTGCGCGGTGCCTTTGGGCTCTCATGTAAAGTTTCCTGATAGGCATCACAACAGTTGCGTATTCGGCAGATCGCACCAGTTGTCCTGGTCCACCCTCGTATCCACTGACGGCTTCCCACCCGCGTTCCACAAGAGGAGTCCATCGACGACGGCAACTAGCGATCAGGAAGTAGGCCATAGCTGACCAGTTGGTGTATGTTTTGAACAGCCACCTAAACTGTTTAGACCTCGAGTCGTTGTTCAAGATGTGATTGTATTCCGCAATCTCAATCGCTGCAACGTAGGCACGCTCTTTTGCCTCTTCCGAAAGTGTACCTTCGCCCTCGGAGCCTGGGAAGAGGACCGGCTGGTAGATTACCAACGTCATCTTGGCCATAATGATGCGCGCAATTGAAGCAGCCATCCAATGTAACGGATCAGAATCGCCAGTGTGGTGTTTCAAAAACTTTTCCTCAACTCTATTGTAAACCTCGATGAGCATGCGCTCTCGCTCCGCGAGGCTGGTGTCCTTATAAGGCATTCCTTGGGGGCAGAATGACATTGAGGCGGATGATAATCGAACCAGACGCCTTCCAAAGCCAGCAATTTCGAAACGAACAAGTGCCAGGGAACAGTCAGAGTGACCCTCTCTGGGCTCCGGGGCCTCCGTTGAGTCGGGCTTGATATCCGTATCATTGATGTTACTCGGCATCTGTGTGTCATAATTAAAGTCTTGAATGATAAGATCAGTACCCAGCTCATCTGCTGATCGAAGGTCCAATAGAAGTAAGGCCCACCAGAGACGCCTTCGCATCTCTGTTTCAAAGGGACTTAAGTCGAAGTGCGACCCATCGCGATGGAGGCCCATGCCTTGAGCAAGGTGCGCCACCAAACCGGTTAAAGACCAACAGAAACGACTTCCATCTTGGCCTTTGACCACGAGAATAAAGATGATCAACGCTTGCATGATTGGAGTCTCCAATGAGTTCAGGAAGTTGGCTTTGGCGAGCGCTTGTTCGACTGCGAAACGGTACTGCACAACAACATCTTCCTTGTTGAGACCAAGATTAGCTCGCACCTGAGTTCAGAAGTTAGCATTCTCCGTGCTTATAGTCAAGGATATCTTCCTACCTCGTCAGGTTCCAGGGATGTAAGTGCAGCATAGTATATTGACCAGACGAGCGCCTCATTTGCAGGAGACAGTTGTTTGTGATCTTTTCGCGCATCCCGAAAGATGGGCTCCATAGTTGGAATGTGCAGCACCTTGAGCAACGGTTCCACATTCTCCTGATAGACAGACCACAGGAACGGTATATGGGAAGGCAGGGGCCAGTATTTATCGAGATCCACGTCTGCAGAGCGGTAACCAAATATCCAGGCGTTGTGGTTTCCCGAGAGTGCGGATGCGGGTGAGGTATCTGGGGTTTCATCATCCTCAGACTCATCCAAGTCTTCGTCAGTAAGCTTCTGAGTCTCTTCACGTATCGAATCGAGCTGGTAGACAGAGTTAGTCAAACACTCGCAAAAATAGCAGGGACCGACCAACCTCGTCATTGAGTTTCGACCAAAAACCATGACTAACGTATCTTTGGCTTCCTCCAGTGTCGCTCAAAACCAATCGTCCAAACTTTTTATGCATATTCTTGCGAGCAGTCTCGCTCTGTTCGCTTGTAGCATCGCTACCCCTTGGGCTGTCATCAGTCCTTCCAATGTTGCCTGCGTGAGACCCTGCATTCGACGATTGTCTTTGAGTATTATGCGCCGAGGCGTCAAACGATGTGCTTTGACCTGCATGCGCTTCAGGCGAATTGGTTGATGAGGGGCCTTTACCGCCAGACTCAACCTCAATCTGACCGCTTAGCTCTTCCACAATGCCCTCCAACTTCCTAAGCCGCTTCATCAATTCTATCTCGCGCTGGCTTGAGTTCTTGGTGGGCGCATTTGGGTCTTTTCGGCGCGGCTGCCGCGGCGCTCTTCCGGGGGCGGGGAAGACACAGGGAATCTGGGCTCGACGACAGTTGGAACACGGCATCTGCTTGTCGCATCGAACTTTCCGACGGCGGCAGGTTACACATGATCGAGGATTCAGGGCGGGCGTATTGCTTCCGGGCAGGTGGATTGGGCTTGTATGGGCGTCAGGCCCTGTTGTCTGATAGACAGTAACGTTGCCTTGAAAAGAATTCGGTTGGGTGTGAGACGAAGTATCTTGCTGGGTATTGGATGAAGGCGATGCTGTGGACTGTTGCGCAGAATCAAGCCCCTCAGATACGTTGAAGCCGAATCCGAGGGCCATGCCCTCGAGGTAGCCCGACATTGCTGTATCGTCTTGAGTGTAAGATCAAGTCAAAGATGGCGACAAGTATAGATTGTTTACGATATTCGAAAAACGTGAAATCGGCCAGGCAAAGGATGTACGGAGAATCCGCGGACTCGGGCTCGGGCAAGGGATGAACGGAATGCGGACGAGGCCATCAACGTTGGATGCGATACGGATGCGGGTGCGGTAACGCAGGCTAACCAAACCTCGACTGCAATGCACGTTGAGGAAATGCGTAAAGTCAAATCATGCAGCTGTAGACAGAGAACCTGTCGTGAAGCCCTCAAAAAGCCAAGAAAAGGCTGAGAAGGCTGTTTTTGTGAAACATAAGGTGAGAAAAGACGCAGAACGTTTGGTCTGTGATTGAGTTGGAGAGGAGGACGGGATGGGTGGATGGATGGACTCGACTACCTAGGTAGGTAGGTAATTGGAGGGTGGGGGGTTCAGAGTTCCAGGGCACTTCTGATCAGGGCGGGCAGGGCAGTAGAAGAGGTACCTAGTGGAGGTCTGGTTGTTTGTCGTATTGATGATCCCTAAAAATCAACTAAAGTGGTGCCTGCCTTGGCACCAACGCCCAGCACTACTCGAGAAAACGATCCGAGCTGACAGCGCCCAGACGCCCTAAACGCCCCTAAATTTCCGGGGATGCACGTCCTTGTGATTCTTCGATTTAGTTAGGGCGATCGTGCGGGCGGCGGAGACAGACGGGGTTAACACCTCACTCGGCTCCGTGGCGGACAGAGCAGAGACAGAGCAGGGCTGGGCTTGGGGAGATTCCAGACTCTTATTTGACAGTTTCATTCCATGATTATTCATTCATCCTCCAGAAAGTCAGCACTAATTCCGCGTTGGGTATTAGCACCAGAGCTCAGAGTTGACTGTGTCGTCATCAAAGAATCACGTACGTTTTCACTTGGTATAAGTCGTCGCACTTTTGTCTAGAAAGTTGAATAACCATAAGCTGTCAACTTATGGTTAATTCCGCTGGTGGATATAATTCGAGATGAACCCTAACTTATGGAATCATTTCGTATTTTCGCGACTCCGAAACTTCCGTTCTACGAGGTCATTTGCCCTCAACAGTCATCAAGACGGTTGTCCGTTGACCCGACCGGAGAGGGGCTCGCTTGTTGGCCACTGTGCAGTGAGCAATGGGTAGCCATATCGTGAATGGTAGTCTAGAAGAGTGATGAGTCAAAGCGTGCGCCCTATTGGTAACAACTATGGAGGACGGAGACCGACTACCACCGAGCCTGTGTTGACCTGACGGACTCTCCGTGAGACTCGGTGAGAGTAACATCCTAAAGCCGCTGTCGACTTGAACGATTAGCGAGCTGGAACTAATTATCAATCTCAACTTAATTTGAGTAAACTCAGTACGTAAAGCCAAGGATATCCGAGGACCGTTGGCCTTCACATGCAAGAGGCGTCTGACGGGCATGACGTCTCATTGCAACTCTCACAAACCAAGCTCCCCAAATCCCCAAACCAGGCCAAGAATATTAGTTAACACCCACTCATAAATCAAGCTTATCAATATCAGGAGATCTTCGGCATCTGTGTACCACAAGCCCTACGAACCCGGCATGTCCTCTCTTCAATCCCTTTTGCACGAGGGGCTTGCAAAAACGATGGCATTTTCTGATACATCACAACTCGGCTGCCTTGCATTCATCGCCTTTCACAACGTGGGATCGTCTCCCGCACGTCATGATAGTGGGATCGAAGGTTTAAGGCAACCCAGATAGTTGGTATCACTTGACGCATCCGATTAGACGTGATGTGACGCCAATTGAGAGCTGCGATTGGCAGATCTCGTAGGCCGTCAATATGCGACTGATTCCTGACAGCGGAATTAAACACATCAAAACTTATTCAACGTGCGATAACGGTATTGTCTATCCGGAGGTCCTTATCTCGCTGAGGTAGGCTGCGACTTCACGGGCAGCTGATCTCTTTGATGGTGGGATACCCATCGACGTGTTCTCGCTTGGATGTCCCGTAATGACCATCACAGTGCGATCAATTGCAGCTTTGGTGCAACATTTCTTTCATGAATTGACGAAATTCTCTGCCAACTGATATCGGAGCCCGTTATAATCATGAAATACCTAGGCACCGTTACGGATCGGCCCCACTAGCTCCGGCGCGGGAAGCGAATCATCGTCGGGCATCTTCAAAGGCCAAAGGGGCCGCATCGGAGCCGGCGACGTTACGATAATAGGATTGTGGCTCCCTTGTTTGATACTCCCTGTGTTGTCACTATAATATTGGCTCAGATCATGGTCGCCATCAGGTCGCTTTAGCTCCCCAAGCTAACGCACACACGCAACCTCTGGTGTGAGCTCAGTCGCAGGGACCTCACACCTTCAGCTACTATGAGTTCCAGCATAATACCACTCTCCCTGGCGCAGGCGCGATTCTCGCTCAGCGGTGCAGCACGGAGGTCCGATTCCGTATAGGATCGTAGTCCAAGCATCCCACTTCACTCTACATTCCACCAGTGAGGGTCGAACATGTAACAGCTGTACAACGCGCATGGTGAATGACGGTTCGAGATGCTGAATTCGGTGAAATCGCGGCACCAATCTCGAAAGATAATCGACGCAGAGCCTCAACTTGCCACAGCTATGGAAATGTGATCAAAGATGCCCGCAGGAAAGGCCAATCCGTGCCGCCAGGTCGAGGTGATGCCAAGGATTCTTGATGGTTGATTCGCTGGCTTAAAGAGGGATGGTTGTGTGGGATGGCTCGATGCATGTAAGTTTCAGGGTTCCAATATGGCAAGCCGGGCCGTGGGCGGGGTTTGAGCGCCAAAAGCCTGGAGTAACTTTGAGGCATGACTTTGGATGCAGATGGCGAAATGCAAGCGAGTCTTTCGATTGTGAGCACAACTTCCCCAGACCATGCAATGGGAGCCCCAATCTGGCGAATGAAGCCACAAGGATAGATCTGTTGCTCAGGTTTCACTGGTTCCATTGTGCTCCACGACAGGACACAGATACCGGAGCTCTAGCTGCAGTATTCGAGATGTTGGATGAGCTGTCATGATCTGCTAGAAAAGGCCAATATTGCCAGAATATCGGCAACCACTACCAACCCGAGGTCACGAGAGACACACCGCGTCCTTCTCCCCGATAAGGATCCTGGCCGAGATGCGCCAACCACGTAACCGACTCATCTGCCCCAGATTGGGCTATCCAACGCCGCAAGGGAGAACCGAGGTCCGTCATTGGCGCGCCATCTACACCATCCAATGCCTTGTGGATAGACCGATGAAGGGAGAAGCTGCACGCTATCGCGGTAGCATACATAGGATCCAACAGTTTCTTCCGTGATGGTGTGCTCTCGCAACAGCTACTGGGTACAGCAGAGCCGCAAAACTGATGTGGTGTGATATCATTGGTGTCCCGTAGCAGAGCTGATGATCGAACTATCGAGGCTGGATCCTGGAGATGTTGTGTTGCAGCGAAAGAAGATAATCCGCCGTGGTGAAAGCCACTAGTTCGAAATATAAATTAGCCACCACCGAACCCAACATCCTAGAATCATTCTCTCAATAACAAAGTCATCTCCATGGGCTAGCAACTCGATACAAAAGGCCTAACAGTACCCAATAAGCTTTACAAACCTTAAGAAGCCCTTCCTCATTACCAAGTGACATCATGTCTGAATCAGTGTAAGAGGAGCCGATGTGCTTGACATTCGTGCTTGACATTCGAAGGCTAACACGAACAGGGCCATGGAAATCTACCTCAACGGCCCGAAGGAGTTGCCTGACGTCTGGGCAGGGCAGGGAACGCAAGGGGCACAGAACAAGAAGAAATGAACAAAGGGAATCTCGAAGGAATTGAAATTGATACCCGCGCAGGCGCACTTGGCGACGAATGGATCAGAGTGTATATATGTGAACTGGCGCCCTGGAAGAGCAGCCCCGTCGTTATGGTAAATTGTATTTATCATTGTTGCCGTATAAACATTGAGCTCGTTCTTGTCTAGTCAAATGTGAGCACTGTCTCATCCACGTTTCTACCCCACCTCTTGACAACAACTCAAGACAACGGTATCAAACGCTCCGTGAAGTATGGAAAACACCTGTGCCGGTGAATGCAAATCTATCCTGATAACAACGCCGGCAATTCAGAAAAGTCGAAGAATAACGCCATGCTCGCTGTCCGATGGTATCAAAATCGCTTCCGTTCTCTGCCGCGCAGGCTGATCCGCCACAGGCAGCATATACTTTTCGATTCGCACCATTTCTTGACATCATTTGGATTAACCTCCCCATCATAGCCCACGCGACTAAGCTCACCCGTATTGAGCCATGCTGCAAGATCTTCTAAAACGATTGGATCGTATATCAACATCTTTTCATGCCAGGATGGCTCTTGCGGGTCAGTAGTACGCGGGGCAGATGTAACAGCATTGGTGATGTGACCAAACAAAAGTGCCTCTTGATCGCTCTGGGTGGTTGTGAGCGGTGTGCCATCATTAGTTGTAAGAGACATGTCCAATGGTGGTGGGGAAGAAAACATTTGTTCGACGTTGGTATCGGGCGAAGAACCAAAGTCGCTCTCGTTATCTTCGGAATCAGGTATCTCAATGACAGATTTAGCAGTAGCCTTCTTGCGGCGAGGTGATGCCGCCGCCCGCTTTGGTTTCGCCGCTGATTTAGGCTTGCTTGGAGAGGCAACGCCTGGTGCCGAACTCAAACTGTCTTTCCTTGGTCTGCCACGAGTCTTCTTGGGGGTTTCAGGCGGTTGAGCAGATGGAGGCGGTTCCTGGGGCTCAGGAGCATTAATACTGTTTTTCCGCGGCCTGCCTCTGGGTTTCTTTGGACTACTAGTAGTAGCCGACGATGTCGCCCTGGTAGTTTTGGTGGGTGAAGATAACTTGGTGTTGGTATGGAGGCTGGCCTGGCCTATGCGAGACTTACTCTGCCAACATTGGTCGAGTAGTGCAATCATCGCACTTCTCCGCTTGATGGGTTTGAAACCAAACCCTTTTATTTCTCTTGCCAAGCGAATGTCTGTGAACGCTTCATAATTGGGCCGAGGTGGTTGTGGTGGGAGCTCGGGTAAGCTCTCAGGTTCTTCTGCCGTCATCATTTGATTTGCCTGCCCAAATTCTGTTTGTGCTAGCGGCGGGCGATGAATATCAGTCCTTGTTGACAGTTCACTGTCGGAAAAGTATGGGGAGCCAGCTCCTGAGTCGACCAGGTCCTTCTCATCAGGCGATGGCCTATCGTCGCAAGGGTGGGCAGGTGGAATATGATCATTGAGCACACGGCTCTCGACACAAATGACGGAATCGTCTGCACCCAGTTGATATCCAAATGGGTTTGAAATGTGACCAACCTCCGAGAGTCCTGTGTCGTCTGCAAGATTGATTACTTCGACATCGAAGAGATCCCCTTCTGCATCACGAGCAGCTGCATCCCAAAGGTTACTTCGTGGTTGCGGCGATTCTATCGCATCACTATTCCAAGGTATGTTGAGATCTATGTCGTGGTGCTGATTGGACTGTCTCAAGGCTGCCTGAAGATCCCTGAGGACAGTCGGGGATTCTTCTCTGGCAAGCTGGCTTGAGGTTCCGAAAACAAAATCCTGGTTAGCAACCTGGGCCAAAGCCGCACTGGGTGACAACAACACGGGCTTTGGGGGCACTTTCTTTTTAGGGGCTTTCGATGGTTTCCGTCGTGATGTGCTTTTGCCCTTAACATTCTTTCGATGCTCATCAGTCAGAGACCCAGTCTCCTTGTCAGTAGTGGGGAAATGGTCAAGAATAGAAGCGTTTGGAGGCTCAGTATCTGGCTGACTAGGCACTCGGTACGCAGCCGTTGCAAGTTCCGTAATAGTCCTGGGCCTCTTCTTTTTGGGGGCCTTCTTCGTTGGAGACTTGTCAGGTGCCATAGCTGGTGGATCGGTGGCCTTTGTCGCTAAAAGTTCGATGCGCTTTCGTTTCTTGAGGAAACTGGAGTCTTCGTCTGAAGCATTCGTTATGCTGTGAGATGTCGATTCGTTAGGCTCTTCCATGCAAGAGTAACCCTCGACAAGGTTCTTGAAGACAGGCTGCTGATCCGCCTCAGAAGACCCTGACTTTTTGAAAACAGATGAATCTGACTCAATATCGACAATAGTCTTTTGAGCTGGAGGGGTCCAGTCCAATCTCCGTGCAGGTGCTTGTTCCAGATGAAGGGGTTCATTCACATCAATCTGTTTCGCCTTTTCCAAATCCTTGGACTCCCCTGGTGGTGGAAAGTGGCTACTCATAGTACCGGTTTTCTTCCTTGGCTTCGCAGCCTTGACTTTCTTTTGTTTGTCATCATCATTATCCTCTGCAGGGCTATGGTCTTTGCTAGCTGCTTTGCTCGACTGCTTCTTTGTCGCTGGTTTAGGCTTGGCAGCCCGTTTAGGTGCAACTTGTTTTGACACCTTCTGTTGGCGAGGCTTTCTGGTCGACTTGCCTGTGATTTTGATCACCTCTATATGTTCCTCTCGTTCTTTTGGTGGCTCATTGTCCCCAGCGATAAATCCACCGTTTCCAGGTGCATCTTCTGTGAGTCCAGTGGGTTCACCGTGATGGGACAATGCCCAAGGCGATCCCGTCGATGATGTCGAAACAACATTTGGCGCGGATTCTGTTGCTGGATAGAGTTGGCGAGCAGAGATGAAGCCAGATGGTCCATCCCTCGAAAGTGTTTCTGCTCCGCTTCCATTGTGTACCGAAGGTTGGGATGTGGCTTTCGTCGTTAAAACGTCGCGAAGCGATGGGAGGTCAGGGGATGAAGAATCAACGTGCAACGGTTGACGTCTTGTGTCTCCTAGTGGCGAAGTCCCAAATACATCAGAGGATACCATGACACTCAAACCAAAGTTTATGGACCGAGAGCGCAGAGCGCATCTCAGGCCCGATATTTGTAGCAGAATGATGTCGAGGTTGAAAGACGTTGAAAATAAGCAACGGCGGGGTCATGATCTGAGAACGCCTAATCTTGGTATCCGAGTCATAGAAGTGGTTCGCCTTCAGGCGCAAGGGGTTCGCCAAAATCCGAGTCGACGCTAATCCCTGCCTCGCGATCTGTTACGCGCTATCACATGATAGTCCACGTGAGCGATCTGGACCCACCCCACAGGCAGAGGCCCGAGGAAGGTAGGGCCGGGATTTGCTCCACACCCACAATCAAAGATTATTGAGAAATTACTCTACTCATCTTCCTTCTAACCTCTCGTCGACACAACCTCTCAAGATCACCCAAAACCACCTTCTTCAAACCAGCCAAAATGGAGAACGACCGCGGCGAGATTGTGGACCTGTAAGACTTCCATTAGGACATTTCGATATGGCCGCACGAAGGAACAATTCATGATACTGATACGGCATCACCAGTTACGTCCCCCGCAAGTGCAGCGCCACCAACCGCATCATCAAGGCCAAGGATCACGGCTCTGTCCAGATCTCCATCGCCAAGGTTGACGAGAACGGCCGTGCCATCCAGGGCGAGAACCACGTCTACGCCCTTTGCGGTTTCGTCCGAGCCATGGGCGAGAGCGACGACTCCCTCAACCGACTGGCCCAGCGCGACGGTCTCCTCAAGAGCGTCTGGAGCGGACAGCGATAAAGGATTTCAATCTGTGGGAAAAAAGTTACTCGACAACTGGTCCTGAGATTCCTCGACATAGGGGTCTGACACGAATGGACTACAGGGTTTTGGGTCCGGGCACGAAGGCAATGGGTGAAAGAAACTAGGGTTGGCTGCATCTAGCAAATCCACTTCGAGGCGTTCGGCTCGATTTTGAGACAACATTACGATATCCCGAATATGTGTTTGAAGATGTGATGAACTGGTTATGCTCCGACATACGGCTAGCGAAGTCTCCTCGGACAGACTTCTCAAAGTCAAACCACTCCGAGGATTCTGGGGCTATTTTGATAGTCTCCGTGCCGCAGATTGATTGACTAGGCCTTGAAAAAGCCGTAGCGCTCAAGTCGTTTGCTATGGTACAGATACGGGTCTAACATGAACTTTTCAACTTGTGACTACCCTAGCCTCACGTGCGATCGTAAACCGAGTGCTGTTCCCCAACCTCTATCCCCGATATCACAGAGGTCGGGCTCGATACGTAGATCGCACATCAGTGCCCCAGCCAAAGTGTACTGTCAAGACGCTCATATGTTAAGGTGGTATTTCCAAGCCTGGGTGCGAGAGAACGAACTTATACAAGCTCTTCTCTTTCATGCTCTCATCTCCTGGTGGGTGGTTCAGGTTGAGGGAAACATGGAAGTGGAGTGGGCACATGGACTCGACGTCACCAGAATTTGATTGCAAAAAGGCTCGATGATTTTTCCGATCCATTCAGCATTAGATCCATGCCAACTGTAGGCCATAGAAGTTCTCGAAAACAAACCGAACCCCTGGGGTATTAGTACGTGTATGTTATACAACTGAATATTCATACATTTCCAAATGATCTGGCGACTCCTGCTAATCAGTCAAGTGTGTGAATGCATCACACTGCATCACTCGCCACTCGCAAGGCCCTCCTTGTATGCTGCCAACGCTCGATCCCGACATTCCTTATGCGTGACAATCGGTGCTGGATAGCCGTTCTTTTTGGCTTTGGGCCCAGCGCCTCGATTGTATGGATCATGAATAGCCTTGATATCAAGATCCTTTAGCTCGGGAACCCATTTGCGGATGTAATCGCCATCAGGGTCGAACTTCTCGCTCTGCAGCAAGGGGTTGAAGATGCGGAAGTAAGGTTGAGGGTCAACACCAACACTGGCGCTGAAACCCCATCCACCATTATTTGACGCAAAGTCACCATCGACAAGATGTTCCATGAAATACCTTTCGCCCTTGCGCCTGCGAAGAAATTAGAGAGACAAAACAGACATTGATGCTTCACCCGGGGTAGCTTACCAGTCTAGCAAGAGATCCTTTGCCAGAAAACATGCGACAATCATGCGACAGCGGTTGTGCATGTATCCCAGATGGTTCAGCTGTCGCATCGCCGCATCGACGATGGGAAAGCCTGTTCTTCCTTCACACCAAGCGGCAAAATGTTCGTTGTCGTATGACCACGAGATGTTTGAGTATTCGGGCTTGAAGGGCTTGTTCATGCTGCTGCTGTTAGTCAAATTACGAGATGCTTGCATATACTTCACTTACCAAACATAGGGCCAATGGACCAAAACGTGCTTATAAAAGTCTCGCCAGGCAACCTCACTGATCCAGGTTTGGATACCTTCATTGCCACCGTTCAACTTCTTCGTCTTGTTTCTATCACGTGCGGTCCGTACACATGTTCTCGCGCTGATCGTGCCCGACGCCAGATGTACTGATAAAGAAGAAGTGCCAGCCTCAGCTGGGATATTTCTCTTCTTCTGGTAGTTGCCGATCATCTCTTCACAGAATTTATCCAGACGCTTCTTCGCCTCGTGCTCCCCACATGGCCAAAGTGAGCGCAGCCGCTCCTTTTCTTCGCCCTCAAGCCGTTTACTTTTGGGGGCGTCCGGAACTTCAATATCGAAGAACTTCGCAAAATCTTTTCGCGCACTGCTAGGGTTCTTCCCAGGTGGTTCGTACAACTCTAGAAGATCAAGATTCTCATGAATGTGAGCAACCCATGACCGATACCATGGAGTGTACACTGCATACTGCTTCCCAGCGCCAGTGTGGAGTTCTCCTGGAGGGACGACGCAGGTATCATGGACAACTTCGAATGCCTTGCCATTCTCTGCAAAATCCCTGATCATGGAGGCCTCGCGCCTCAATTCGTCAACTTCGTATTCCATATTAGCGTACAAATGGCTGGCGCCCCATTCATCCATGAGCTCCAAGATCCGGTCGGGAACACGCTTCCTCTTTTCAACTGTCTCCACGTACAAAGGGATATCGAGCTTTGCAAGATCGTGTTTCATGACTTCCAGAGTTCGCAGCATGAAATCGATACGTACTGGCGATCTCAAGTGAGCCTCATAGTCTTGGGGGCTGATGATATACATCGCAATCAAAGGAACTCCTGCTTCTTTCGCCTTATCACTGGCCAGAGCCAAGGCTCTGTTGTCGGATAGCCGCAAGTCCATCTTGAACCAATGTACGACGGCCTGCTTTACGTTGGTGCTCTTGCGCTCCTGCGCTGTATCTTCGAGGGCACTGATGAGCACCTCGATTGGCCGCGGAAGCTCATTGTCGTTGTAGGCGCGAGCTCTTGCATTGCTCATTTCAGGAGGGTAAAATTTCCGGATCGCGATTCCATTCTCTTCGGCTTCTCCAGCCTTGTGATGTGGTTGGCGCAAAGCATCTGATGAGCTGGAACCGTTTGTTTTGGACGTCTTTGCCTTTTTGGCTGGAGGCGATGAAGACTCGCGTTTGGTTCTCTTGGGAGGCATTGTAGTGAATCTTTCGGGGTGAAATATCGTCGTGTTTCTTGCGAGTTGAACGCGGTTTGGAATGAAAGAAGATCGCCAGGCTTTTACTGGTGATGCATGAATGCAAAGTCTTAAAAGTGACATATGTAAGGCACACAAAAATTGATAGATCCCGGTCCCGTATGTCTACTGATTAAGAAAGAGGAAACTTCAGGCCTCCCTTAATTTAATTTAATTAAAACTCGCTATTGTTTTGCTGCCGCGGTAGTGATATTGTGGCTGTCAAAAAGCATGGAGCCTCGATTTGAAGTACGTCATATGGTCCCTGGCGATCGAAGCTTACACCAAGCAGATCTGAGATTCATAGATCTCGGATGTTTAGTGACTGTTCCGGATCCCTGATTGGTTGGTGGTCACTGAAGCATTCTTATGATCGTGGTTCTGTTAATTTGAGTGTCGGGAGAAGCTGACGGGGTTGATAATGCATAGAGTATAGTTTTATTGTCTTACTGGCTGTACTTTAATTTAATCGTTTTGGGTCTTGATATCCAGTGAGAGTACCGCTCTGTGAAGTGAGTTAGGTTGTTATGCATTGTGATTGGTTAAACCCCGGACTTCAATCCGGTAAATGGTGCTTGACGTTTGGTTTCGAACTCACCTATTTCAGACCCAAATACTCGTCAGTAGCTCTTACCTTTACCGCCAATACCTATTGATTGACAGGAGGAAGTCAGCAACGAGCCCCTGTCCGGACTGTGATGTTGCACCTGCCTTCGTTCTCTGCACTCTTGGGGTGTGTGATTGGCTGATTACCTACACTTACAGGCAGGAGCGGCAGGCGATGGATGCCTGTGCGCGTAAACCTCACGCGTTTGCTCATCACCGCGCTTTACCTTAACTTCATCAACACCACAACATCAATATCACGGTGCTCGAAAATCCGTTAAAAGCTCTCTCATGATTTACCATTCAACCAAGTATAGGAAAACGATCTCTTCTTTCGCATAAGGCAGTGGATCGTAATACAATTGTACTGGCTGACCCCTACCCTGACTATCTACCCGCTCATATGAGCTTGTACCACTTTACTCAAGTCCCTGTTATCGAATACGGTTGGTCGAAAGAAGTTTTGACTTCACATCGGACTTGATTCCTGCGTGGTAAGGGCACCTTGTCTTCGAACATTCGCCTCAGTCCCCGTGGATCGAAGCCGTGTGAGACCGCTTTGTCTTACTTAGACTGTCCTAGAAGCATCAATATCTATTACCTTGTCAGAAGCCCCTGACAAACTCGGTTTTGTTTGTCACCTCTTACGGGAAGGCCACGACTTTGCAATTACTCGAGGCGCTTTCCGGTATCCCTGTCGACTGTGTCTTCTGGTGCCTCGACGTCGATTATTCATCAAATATGTCGCAGAACAAGTCATGGCGGACCCTTCCGCTTGGTTCGTCTCCCGACTTCCCGATATTACTGGTGTCATTCCACATAGACACATCAGCGTATTCTGTTCACGTAACTGATATGGCCAATATGTGGTCTGAAACACTTGATCGTAAGGCGATCTTTATGAGAGGTTGGAACGAGAACACCAGTATCGACCCTAGCGATACGCCTGATAACATGGCCAAACTCTTGGGCTGCCTCAATACCGCTCTGGATGCTTCTCAACCAGGACAAAATGAGGCGAGCATTCGTCTAGATCGCGATCCCCAGTCTGATGCGGTTGATGGTGACCTTGTCTTGAACATCACCTATGAAATACCTGGATTACAGCCGCTCAAGTGGCCTATGTATCTGAAGAAGCTGCCGCCCTCCAGTATCGCAACGCATCTTGTGCTGCCTTTAATTCAGGCACATCACGCAAAGGATGTTGAAATCGAATTTCTGACTCGATCTTTGGGGAACAAAGACGCAGTTCTCAACAAGCTCCTGGACAAATTAGAAGCCGTGGGTACAGGTATGGAGCATGTTTTTAATGCTTTGTCTGGGAAGAAGAAGATCTCTAGAGCTGCGGCTGCGGAGAAAGTGCCTGGTCTTGCTCCTTTCGACCGTCGGCGCTGGAAGTCTGGTCTTGCGTATGAAGAGGACTGCCCGAGCGACACCGAGTCCTTAGTACAACGCGTATTCGAGAAGGGAGGGCTACAGTTCGAGCCTATAACTGATAGCGTTGAGTCCCCTCGGTTGGACCAGTGGTGGCAAGATTTCAAGGGCGCATCCTCCGTCGCACATCCACCTCAGTACAAAGCGGCTGTTGCGAAGGACAAATCTCCGACTCCTCAAGACTCCGAAAAAGCACATACCGAGCAAGACGATGATGACTTCCAAGTTCAGTCTACCCCCCCACACCTACTGCCCAAGGGAAAATCAACGCATGCTAGGGAAACACCCTTCGCTGATGATGCGTCCACAGAGGGGGAATCCATACCTTCGACAGGCGAGGTATCACCAGGTCCTTGCACACGCAAACCGAACAAAACGGTTCGTAAAATCGGAGCACTCGGTGGAAAGAAGCAGTCCACTCTACCTCTGTCCCCCAATCCTGTACAGCCTCAGGCTCAGAAAAAGTCATTGAGCCAACAACATGATGATTCGGAGACAGCGTCCGAGCCAGAGGATGATGATAAACCAGCTACTGCTGAAGTCGGGAAATCAGGTCCTTCAACTCAATCACCGTCACGGCCAGCCGCAAGTAGAAGTGGCCTTGGACGTATAGGAGGCAACAAGACGAAGCTTCTGGTTGAAGAACAACCAGTGACCCGTAATCGGGAAGTGGGCGAGCCTAGCACGACAGCAGTTTCTCATCGCCAGTCCAAGAAGTTAGGTGCCATTGGGAAGCACAAAGACAACACAAATGAAGTAACAAAGGAGTCGAACGAAGACAATCGAAGGAGTCGAACTACTACCAAGGAAGTCACAGCAGAGTCTAGGCCTAGGGAGACTTCGCAGGAACGGGCGGACCGAAGGCGAGAGGAACTGAAAAAGGAGCTTGAAAAGAAAGCTGCTGCTGGCCCTGCTAAGAAGAAACGAAGATTTTGATTGCATGTTTTCTACTCAACGTTGCAGGTTTAAGCGTTGGGCGATTTACTGTTAACATCTTCCGGTACGATACATATGGACAACGCAGTCGATTCTGGCAATTCGTAATACGTCCTCGAAGAATAAACGAATACCGATGCATTGGCAATACGATCTTCTCAAAATGAATGGGCGATCAACACTATCTAGAAAAACATGTGCCTTCATATACTGGTTCATTCAGATAAGGTGTCCTCATCAGACGCTGGAGATCTTTCACGCGTCTGATTCGAGGTTCTACATCTTGTGGCAATTCAATATTGATCAGGAATCAGTGGATGGGTGTTGTAAAATTTCAGTTACCAATTACGTATAACACAAGCATGCACTGCGCCTATCCGGCCGCACAGCAAGCCATCAATGCAACCTCACAAGTTCATGCTGTGTACACTGGGGGAGATCGATTTAGTGGAACTGAGAGAAGCCATGATAAACACCCCTATCTATCGTCACTATATCGACTATCCTGGTTGATTCACCGTCTACCCGCATGCTATGACTATTCATCTGGTATTCATTAACATCACAAATGTCTGGACTTTCATGCTGAAGCGGAATATTGCTCCTGCATACAGCTAAATGATGTCCTTTTGCATCAGTTGGAACATGGCATATCATCGTTTGGCCGTTTGTGTCGAATCTGAACTATTTTAAGACCTTCTATCCGGTATACCTATTCACGACTCAATGGGCGTCAACGAAATTAGCAAGCGCAAACTCCGATATTGAGGGATCTTTATCCATGTCTGCCCATTCAACGACGGTTATCCCAATGATACTATTGATGTCTATCCAGCGAAAGATTGACTGAGTCTGGTTGTTTCCAGATCGTTGATCAGCCAAGATCCCAGCATATGTTGGCACAGTCTCTCAAAATTCAGAAGCTATTTTTGATATGAAAGCACGAGGACGTGGTCACTTGCAAGGCAGCGATTCTTAATATGCAACATCACAAGAATCGTATGATTGAGGCTTGAAGAGGCGCTCTATGGTGTACGGCTGGAAGGCGCTGAAGACACTCCTTCAACTTCCAGGACACCACACTTGAAAAACTACCACGTTCAGTCATGGTGTGAGTGTCGAGTTGACTCGAGCTCATTGGAGAGTATCAACACATTGTGTTGCGACTGAAGGGTCACTTCCAGCATCCTTCTGCTAAACCATTGGATGTAATATGGAGCTCATACGCCATCTGTCACGCGGTAGTCGCACATAACGGTAATGCATCAAACAGACGAGATTGTGGCACTCACTTTGAGGTGCTCGTGGACGTGAGCAGTGGATCCCTGCTCAGGCTCATGGACTAGCGCAGCAGCCAAGAAACGCCTCGAGGAGTGTGTCTAGGTGCAACCAACGAGAACACATAGTGAACGTGGAGAGCTCCGTAGACCATCAGTGTGGCATTACGAAATTCATTATAGCAAGGGTCTTTTTACAGGGATCAGCAATGCACACCCCAATTCATTGAAGCCAACAGATCAGATGCTGGTCCTTGCGACAAGTGTTTCTTGATATTGTGAAGAAGGTGAAGGAGAGAGGGAGGAAAGCTACGATGATCTCAATGATGGATAAGCTATGGCAAGCTAGCTATAATATCAGCAGGGCTGATAGAATGACAGGTCACTGACACTTCTGAGAGCGACCGTGTCTTCAGGATAAGCCACTACCACCCTAGCTGCCGTTGCAATCGCGATAGCTACACTAAGGGCAGGCTTACTCGGAATACTTCCGGCTCAGAGATAGCGATAACAAACGGAGAGTCTTGAATCAGAATGGATGATTCTCCAACAATGTCTTGACTCTCCAATTGTTCCCTTTGGCTTCGAAAGTGGCTCAACGACTCATTCCAGCGATGAAACCATTGTCCGAGGGCTTGACAGGGCACATGAGTTGGAGGTATTGGCTCAGCTCGAATCGTTGTCGCGATCTGGATAGTAAATCTCCCCAGATCGAAATTATCTCGATAGTGGATCAGGTGGCTGCCAATGCTTGATGGATCGTACCAGGTACCGGGTTGCGGAAACTGCGTCCGCCAATTGATGTGACTCGATCAAACTGGATGGTATGTATCTGCAGCCTGGCACAGCGGAACCAAGATCGACGATTAGCCGGCGAGGATCATGTCCTTGACGAACCAGGTGCCCCAGTCACATTGGTGTGAGGCAAGTCTCACAAGTCACAGCGCACTCTTGCTATCTTGTTCGTTTGCAGCGATTTTACCTATCGTTCCACTGCGACCCTTGTATTCTTGGTCTTTAATGCCTTCACACAGTGGTCAGCTCAGTGTCATTCGTGGCCCTGGATTCGATGTTCTTCTCTTGTTGATGACTTGAGAGTAGTTTGTGGACGGAGTATTCAAGTCCAACACTGAAGAAGTGCAGGTCAAACAACTTCAGCTTTGAGCAGTTGGCATATACGACGTTGGTGACATCAGCTTTCTGGACTAATTAATTAGGACTGCAGAGTTATGGGACCACCATCTTTAACAAGAGATACTGCCGGTATGCATCGTTGGTGGCTTTTCAGGGCGCAAACGACCACGCTTTGCTCTCTTTTGGAACAAGATCGTCTCGGAGGATCAAGGTGCGTCGCCGTTGATTATGAGGATTGAATATCTACCTCATGCTTAGGGCTACCTGAGAGCTTACAAAATATCCCCAGGCGTCTGAGTAGGGGTGGGCGCAACTGCTCCTCACCGACTGCACCACAGAGATGTGGTGTTATTCGCCAGCAGATCGCGAATTCTGACAGGGTCCTGTTTGAACTCTCAAGTCCGCTGTGAGCTGTTGGGGGCACAGTGTGAGCGGGCTCGGGCAGTCAATTCAATTATACGACTACGTACAGTACAGTACAGTACAGGCCTTATTCCGCTTTTGGCTATAAGGATGAACCATGCCATGGCTTGACAATAACAAGCTTAAATATGAATGAACGAGGATTCAAGACCAACAAAAGCACACACACGCCTATACTAAGTTTAGAGGTTAATTCTCCCCCACTCGGGATCTCCTTGTCTCAACCTGCATGGCATCGGCTGGGGTCTGCGAGGAAGGCCAGGGAAATGCCATGGCTTTCTGCTTTCCATTCTTCTAGTGAAGATGCAGAAGACGCCATGACACTGGAGCGTGTATGCCCAGCCCCGCTAGTCCTTTCATCGCCAGCCATAGTTGGTGCAGAACGCCATGTTCCTATTGTCATTGCTGGCTCCAAAGCTAACTTACCATTAGAGTCCTCTCTTTAAACGTTGCAGCATATCGGCATACGTAACAAACGCAGGGGCGTTTTGCTTTTTCTTGCCTATTCGAGTTTTGATACGAGGCCACTCGTGGAAGCAAGTAAGAGCTTCCAAAGGGTCTAGTTGATGAGGACGACGACAGCACGGGCTTGGCCAGAAAGACTAGCTCTCTCTCATCGATGACGACCATGCCCGGCCCGTTCCTGGTTGGTGGTTGAGGCAGCTGAGCTGTCAGAGATGAGTGATGCAATGCCAGCGGCCGCTGTCATCAAGCTTAATGCAAAGGCCGAGAAAAGACGAGAGGCCGTGGGCTCTTGATGTCCATTGCAGCGATGGGCAATTTTTGAGCCTCGCCTCGCGACCAAGTTTCTTTTTCCTATGCCACCGAGACTTTCCCATTCATTCCTACTATACCATGTACAGTACGGTACAGCACAGCACAGCACAGCACAGCACAGCACAGCACAGCATTCAGTACTGTGCAATGGCAAGTTGCCTCCGATCCTTGAGTTAGTTACTGTCCAGGCTTTGGAGCGTGTTGGTTCTCGGCGCCTGAGATATGAGCCCGCAATCGACAAAAGATCTTAACAACATGTTGCTTGCGCTTAAGATATCTGAGGCCCCACACCACCAGTCAGCTATTCATCCACCAGCCACCCATCCATTCATCAATGGCAAAATTCAGCTGAAGACCTGGCTATTAAATTGGTTCTACTGGCAAAGGATAGGGTCCGGCAAGGGGACCCTAACTCTCAGAGGCGACTACAGGAATGTTGAGGAGAAAAATAAAAGCCCGAAGCAAGAGATGGGCGATCATGTGAGACATCAGATGAGACTTGGCAAGACACAGAAAGATTCGGAGTCGCTCTCTCGTCTCTTGTTGCGGACCCCGAATCGACATCCTCGTGCTAAACGCTTAGCTATTGAGAGCGTGGCTGGCGTTGATGTGCTGTAAGCGCAGTCCAACCCAGCCCAGATCTAATAATACTCGGCAGACGTTGCACTTGTTTTTAACAATGGTTCTTAGCCGTGTCTGAAGCATTGTAGAGGGAGTGTGAATGGCGGAGGCAGTGGCAGCGAGGAGCGCAGAGCAACGGCCCGCGTAGGATGCTTACCGGCCCGGACACCCATAAGCATTTGGTTTTGTGTTGAGTTCAGTTGGCCTCTCCGGTGTGAACTGAACTGAACTGAACTGGACTGGATCTTGGGATCGATGCATGATGCATCCTTATCCCAGACCAGAAGTGAAGTGGAGATCCGATATCTCGTTATCCCGCTCGCTCTCAGATCTGAGGCGGGCGTCTGTGCGATGAGGCTACTAGTATTCAGATTATTCCCTCTCAATCTCCGTGACTCTCTAATTATTCCCTCTCTAGAGATATGCACACCCCGCATGCAGCTGCTCATACACTCGTTAAACTAGGCAACGCTGGCGTCTGAGCTCCTGGCGATCATGACAACCCTTACAACGTAGCCGACAGCCCCCGGCCCTTCCTCCATGATGAGAATAGTGCAACTCAGCACGAATAAGACGACACGATTTGACAGGGGGGCTAGGATGAATAGAAAAGAAGAGGGGAGTGCCCCCCGGATCATTTCCTGTTGGCTCAGCTTCGTTACCAGACTGTCGGTAACCAATGATATTTCTAATATCGTGCTCGACAATGGGGGGGTCTCATGAACCTTGCTTATTCCCCACTCCACTACGAAAAAGCTGAAGCCAAGCCAGGCCAGGGCAACGAAAAACAGGGTCGAGCGGGGAGACGGAGACGAACACAGCAACCAGCATGGGGACTACATACGTACGTACGCACAAGTACTTCTTCTACTTCTGCTGTTACCAAAGGTGAATTCGATTTACTGCTGCCCAGGCAGATGCCAACACTACTGCCCTGCCAGCTTCATCGTCCAAGATGATAAACGTGACAACATTTACAGTGGAGATGACACCAAAACCTCAGAGTTTAGAGTTGTATTGTTATTTTCGCAGATCCACAGTTGCCAATGTACGAGCTATACGTAATGCAATGCTCTTCCAAATTCCATCCTTTTGCCTTTATTGAAAGGCATTCATTCATGCCAACCATGTTTTATGACAAGGAGAAGACTGAATGAATAAAGAATTCGATGACAATACAAGTCAAAGACTTGCCTGGTATTCAGGTTGGCACGTACTAACAAAGGCGGTTGCAAGGGTGCTCTTGGTCTTGGTGCCGGAAGCGGCATGAAAAATAGGCGCTTGTGAGTACAATAGCATGGTTGATACATACATACAAGATGGGGGATAACAAGGTAGTAAGCTAACTATGATAATGAATAAGCAATAAAGACATTAACACGCTTTGGGAGAAGACGTTTCGCTCGTCGACCCCAGTGATCGCCCGCCCAGCCAAGCAGCCAAAATAACAAGGCAAAATTGATGCCTCTTTGTCAGTCCCCGGGGAGCAAAAGATGGAACGCATCGTCTAATCAAAACGGATAAGCCATCACAAAAAGAACTAGGAGAGAAAAAAAGAAAAGGAAAAGGAAAAGAAAGAAAACAATGCCTAAACGAAATCAGAACCAAGTCCAAGTCTCCTTCTATTTTTGAGTACCCTTTTTTATGCGCCGCTGCGACCTAAAAGTCGCAGTAAGAATACTCCTTGTAGTAGTAGTAGTAGTAGTAGTAGTAGTAGAGACGCCAAACAAAAGCACAATGCAATGCGACATTGTCAATCGAATGCCATCATGCGGGCGTTTCTGTTCTGCTGTAACCCCCGCTTCGAGATGATAATGCCAAGCCCAAGGCGACCAACGAGCTACCATGGCGATGACTTGTTTCGATGTAAACATGCCCTGACCTTGTTCTTGATCAGTCAAGACAGGTAGGTAGGTAGGTAGGTAGGTAGGTAGGTAGTGTATGATGGTAGACAAGAGTGACAGACAATGCCATAGCAGTCAGCCCCAAAAGTCTCGGCGTCTCGCGCTCAGCCCATGACCGCGAGTCTATGTGTTCGGATGGGAGGTGATCCGCCCGTGACCGCCAGGGTCTGTGTGGGGTCCAGTCCAGTCCAGTCCAGTCCAGTCCAGCCTAGTTAGTGAGTTGGAGAGTAGAGTTGAGTAGAAGGATGAATGGGGTAAGGTGAGTCGAGGTAAACTGAGGTAAAGTTGTGTTGGTGGTGTTGGTGGTGGTTACTCTGTCTAGCTCACAACGTCGTCCCCTGTTGCTTGAAACTGCCACCATCTCTCTTCCATCTTAGGGCGTCGAGTCGATGAAAAGAATAGAAGCTGATTTGCTTTTTTCCAGAACCACGCACACTCATTCACTAAACTTCACCCCTCTTTTTCGCGGTTCCCGCGGTGGCGCAAAGGTGCAGATAAGCAAGCCAAGTTGGTCGATATCTCTGGAGGAACACCAATTTTCATTCTTTCTTGTTTTTGTTGTCTTTTTTGTTGATCTTTCTTTTTTCTCTTCCTTTTCTTCTTCTTCTTCTTCGGGCCTCTCTTCTGTATGTCCTCATCCTTTTCATTCCCCTGCCAGTAAACCCGTTGTTGGTAATATCAACCACGACGGCCCTGCGGCTGCCAACAGAAGTGACAATAAGTGACATTGGTGGCTCACACTTGTTGCCTCGGGGTGTTTAGGACGGAAGATTTCCATATTCAGAGTGCCTGGCCGTTCCAGCTGTAGACGTCGTTAGGGCCGATCCCTATGAGGCGTTCGTTGACTCCGTCGCTAGCACCAACACTAGCACTGACGCCAGCGCCAGCAGGGCTATTGTGACCGCTGCCTGGATAGACACCTGTGACGTCTACCATCCCATACGGATATTCGCACGGAGATGAACCAACGTACATGCTTTGGGTGCCACTAGGCAGCGTATACGCGGTAGTGCCGTTGCTGTTACTGGCGCTAGAGTTGACTGCATGCGCGTGTATTAGGCTCGGCTCTGGAAGCACGAAGCCAAACCCACTCGAGTCGGGTGTCATTGGAGAATACTCCTGCTTCATGACTGGTTGGGGCATTCTGTCAACCCGTGGCATCATCAACTCCTCGTAGCCTCGGTGCTGCGGCTGTGGTGACTGATACATGCTCGGCATCGTAGTCGCCCGGTGCATGGGATGGGGATGGGGATGGGGATGAGGATGAGGGGGTGCGATGAGGTTCATATGGTGGGACCTCGGTGCCATTTTCACTTCATGAGTGTATTGACGCTCGCGCATCCTCATGTCGTTCGTCAGGAACTCGCTCTTGACGATTGGGCTTCCCTTGGCGGCAATTGGGTTGTGTCGCTGTGCAAATCTGTCATCATATGGGTGGTGATGGTACTTGCGCCCCATTCCTCGACGTGCTGCATTTTTGCCGCGGTATTTTGTTGTGCTCTTAACTCCATCCCGGACAGCCCAATCTACCAACACCCACTCGGTCGCTTTTTTAGCTTCACCAGTTTTAGTCGAGCCTGAACCCTGCTCCGTCGCTCTCGACGTCGAGTCTGATCCCAGCTTGTGTTCTCGTTTGACAAAAGCCTACCATCAAGATCCACTGTTAGCATTCATCGAACTCTTGTAGCATGAATGATTCGTCCAAAAACTCAACAAGCGTTGGTCCATGTACATATGCAGCTTATGCCGCAAGCTATACCCGGTAATAGCAGGGGGAGGGAGAGGGGTTATGGGAACGAGATCTGAGACAGGAAACTCTGGAGAGTGTATGGCTTGGGGGGCTGTCTTAACTTACATCATTCATACTGAGGTTATGACGGATGCTATTCTGCCAGCCTTCGGCATTTTTGCCCGGTCTCTTCTCTGACTTGTCCTTCTTGATGTCCTTATCAGTGTTCTCACGAAACCACTGGTAAATCTCTTGAAGAGTCATAGCATGATCTGGGACGCTCATCAGAGCTCTGTAGAGTAGCTGGGCGTATGGTTCGTCTGTCCTAGCGCCACCAGCTGCTGCGACCTGAAGGTCCTTGCCTTCTTGAACCACTTCCGAGCTCGCGCGGTACTCCGGTACACCGGCGGGTGATTCGTGTCTAGCCTGCATGAGCACGGGGGTCCCGAGAAGAGGTTCTTGCGGGGAGCCGCTGCATGATAGTGCTCCAGCTGATGAACTGGGAATTGTCACTGGGGAGTAGTTTTGGGGCAGGCCGTCAATCTCATTATCGAAAATCTGATTCATACCGCCACCTGAGAAAGGCGTCAGGCCCCGAGGGCCTCTGACAGGATACCCTTCGTTTGATGTCGGTGTGCAAATGCGGAGGTTGTTGAAAGAGTTCTGTTGGAGAGGGTCTGAAGGTTGAGGCAGAGGGAAGTCTGGAGAGGACCACGTCCTTGGTGAAATGGGTGATGGGTTGTAGCAGCTCATTGGGGCACTGCCACTGCTTGGGGAACTTTGGTAAGAGTAGTTGTCATAATCGTCAGGTCCTGGGGGAGGTGAAGGCCAGACTGGGTGATGACTTCGAGGCGCATATGGAAAACCTGAGGTCATGGAAGCATACACAGTCGCATCATGAGTCGGATGTGACGTCTGCTGTTGGTTCTCCTGGTGCTGTGACAGGGTTGGGTCTAGAGACAGCGGACCAGTTGATGATAGATGAGATGGTTGATCCTGAGGACCCGAGGAGAGGGCATAGTATGGCTCCATACCGGTGAGCTCTGACACGCAAGGTGATTGTTGACCATGACCCGTGATAATATTCGTGTAGCTAGCAGCTTGCTCGTCACCAGAAAACGGTGTATCCATTGCGGCCTCTGTTGAAGTCAAGGACACACTTGTTTGAAGGAAGTACAATGAGTCTCGTGGGTGGTTTGATGGTGTTCTCGGAACAAGGAGATTTCTTTACTCAGGTACCAAGCAATGGGAAGCGAGGTGAAAGAGAGATGTTGATGAGCAAGTTGAAGGATGGAGGGAGAGAACGGAAGATAGCAGAACGTTACAATAGACACAATGGAACAAGGACAAGAACGGGGGCGAGGAAATATGGCGATATTTGATGCCGAAGCGAAGGATGCTTGTGCTCCTCCCGCTCGTTTGGGGTAGGGCGTGGAGTTGTAGGGCTAGCTTTCATACAACGGCTTCGTTTAGACGTCGATCCGTTGATAAACAAATGCCCGTTGACAGATTCAGCAATCTTAGCTCTTAGATCTCCCATCCACCTTCATCTGTCGAAGCTTATGGGCAAGGACCTCAAGATCGTAGTCAAGGTCGCTCGGGGGCGTGTGCCAAGTGAAAGGGCGAGGGCCGACCAACAAGCGGTTAGCAAGCCATAGTGGTCCGTGGCAGACAAGGAAAACGGACAGCGACGCCATCTGTAAGCCACCCCACGGGCGTAGCTGATCACCGACGGCAAGCCTCCCTCCTAACATGCATTTGTGTTGTAAATGTACGCCTGTGCTTGTGTTTTGCTGGCTGTGTTTTGTGTGTGGTATCACCAAAGTCTAGAAGATGTTGGACGCGCAAATGAGTTCCCACTGGGCTTTCTGCCTCTGCCACCTTTGTCTTCTCTGATTTCGACTCCAGTGAGCCTGCCTGTAAGAAGATTACCATGTCCAACAGGCAATATCTGTCACCTCATACACCACAGGTGCATGCACTCAGATGCCCTGGTCCTTGCAACTTCTTTCAGATATTGTACTATGCAGGCTCAGTACTTTCATGAGAGAGCAACCTGGCAAGGATGAGTGAGCTGCATGCAATGGGTGATTGCATCAAGAATTAGATGGTCCAAGGGCCCTGATCCAAGGTCCCGAACAAGACGTGCAACCTTAGAACGAGTGCACCTAGCAAGAAATGTGCCGATATTCGTTGGATCAGCCTGGGAAGCCTTGTGTTGCATGCCCCTTTGCGTATCGTCAAATCTTCCTTCTCTGCTGTCGAAACATCCCTCCTGGTCTCATCAGGCAGACCTAGTATGTATCGGGACCAAGAAGCATCGCACCCTGTAAGGGACACGCTACCAATGGGCTTCAAGTCACTTGACGGTAACTCAACCGGCTTGTACTCTCATCAACGGGGCTATCGCGGGTAGTCTGCGTCTCAGACGGCACCTTGCATTTCAGACGATACGAATCGGGACACCAATCTGTATACCAATCAGACCGCCAATCAAAGCATCGGTGGGTGCCCGTCCCGTTTGGATCCCCGTTATCCATCTGTTGCTGTTGTGAATCAGTATGGAAGCTGCCGGAGAAGCCGTGAGAAGCTTTCTGAAGCATAAAATCACCACTGCTCTGCGGTCCGCTGCGTCAAAGAATATGCAAAGAACAATCTTTCGAAGCTTCATCGACGGGTATCCGACCAGAAATCAGGACTCAAGGCATCATCAGGCTTGACGCAGCTGTTCTGACTGGTATTTGCTGTATCCAACCCTCTTGTCACATCTCGATTGCCCAAGCTCCGCGTGGATTTCACTCAAAACAAAAACGTAAAGATGCCCGAGCGGCTTGGTGCTGTCTGTTCGCCCCGGTCCGTGAACGCTCGCAAGTGACAGCTTTCTAGAAGCCTTCTGATGCAGTAGGCCTGATGACCCGAGTTTGCGTGCCAGACTCATCGCAATTCTTGTGACAATCAATTGAACCAAGGCTGCAGCAATCTTTGCCGACTTTTAGTTCTGCATGTTGGGAAACTGTGGAATAGGGACATAAGATGTAATTTCATGCCTGGTCTGCGCAGGCTCTTGAACTGGGCGGTCAGGTCGGGTCGATGGTCGAATAGATCTTAGGTAGCATGACACTACTCCAGCATCGACTCAACCTTTGCCCACTCTAGCTCTCTACCAATCCCCGCTCTGATCCCGAATTAGAAACCCTCAAATAGGTAGTACAGATGCATCAATAGACATGACCCGGGTAGCGTATGTCGAAAGCTATTAACAATCATGATGCAAGCCTTATCAGGCAGGGCGGATTGGTCCGCCCTCCCGCTTGAAAACGTGCGTTTTGTCCTCTCCGATACTAAAACTCAACGGGACGGGCGACGCAGAAACGGGCTTTCCTCCCCTTTTCATTAGGTGATGGCCCAGTTTGGCTCTTACTAGGCGAGGACCAACACAACTTCAATCAAGAGATAGTGGATGATCGATGCCGGAACTACTTCCGGTAGTAGATCTGGAGAAGCGTGTTAGTCTAATGGAACAGGGCGGACCAACAACTAGCGTTTCGAAATCATACCTTTTTGAACTGAAAATGCAGCTGCAAGATACCCTGTTGAGTATGCACGGTTAGCTATGTGGGTTCATGAGCATGTAATGGAGGGGCGATGGCGTCTGATAGCATGGGTAAAGTAGGCTGTCGCCAACGCAGACTGGTCTGGGCTGCATAAAGTGCAGTTCATCCAACAGCCAAGCTATCGTCGCAATACGAACTCAGGGCGGCTAATGCAGAGACAGATACTCGGCTCTGCCACGTGAAGTGAAGCGGGGGGGGTTACATGAACATACCTTGTCGAATGAGCTTTTGAAGCCTCGATCCTTCTTGGCGCTATAATCCCACTCTCGATCAACAATGCGGAACGCAATATCCTCGTATGGAGGGCCTGCCATGAACCGTATCAGGCACGTGTCCTCCTCGCCAGCAGCAGCAAATGATTCTCCGCGTCTGCGGCCATGTTCTCGAATGATCTTGAAGGTTGGTGCCTTTGTCTTGTCGATGAGCTCAGGATAGAATATGTTGAACTTGTAACCTTGAACAACCTTGGGTGGCGGATTATCGTGGTCGTAATGAGTCTGATTATACTTATTCCAGTCGTAACCCATTTGGACACGATTGAAATAGCGTGGCTTCCTGGGTCTATATTTGTCTGCCCATTGTGGCTTAGTAGTGGTAACAACCTCTTCGCTGGTGAAGATCTCCTCGTTCTCGTCGACGCCCCTAGCAACCTCTCGATCATACAGTGCTTTAGTTGCCTGTGAGAAGTCCACGTTGTCAACCTGAGAAAATCGTTCAGTCCCTGGAGGGGCTGTTGTGCCCACATGCTTTGAGGATGAAACGGGTGCAGGAGACGCTATTTCTTCTGAAGCTGATGCAACTGCCTGAGAACCAAAAGTCACCTTGGGGGCAGAAGTCGGCTGGCCCGATGCCTTGACCTTGGTCGGATCACGCTCCTTGAGTTGGCTCAGACGAGTCTCCTTGATTGCCTCGTATACTTGGCTCAGCTTGGCACGGGCTTTCCACACTCGGAGGCTTCGCAGCAACTGTTCCCAGTAATCCGTGTCGATATCCTCGTTGGACTGTAGCTTGGCCTTGATCTGCTTTTCTAAGGCCTCCAGTTGGTCATGCGTCTTGGGGGCCAGGATCTTATCGATGTCGTCTGAAACACTGCTTACAACCCTTCTCTCATGGCCGTGCGGATCTAATTTCGCCTTCCTATCTTTGCAGATGGTCTGAAGCGCTCTCCAATATTCCCGGTTGGTCGCATTGGTTTCAAGCACGTGGTATGAGGCGATATCGGATTCCAGCTCGGCAATCTGCTCTGAATCAAGCGATGCAACAACATCTCCGGGTGCAGGAACATCGATTTCGATATCAGCATCGTCGTCGTCGAAGATGTCGCGATCTGGGTCGATATATCTTAGGTTGAATGCCAGGTAATCGATGGGCTTCGCACGGCCTTCTCGAATCCGAATATCCGCCTTCTTCTTAGACTGCTTCAATACGAACTTGTCCTCATCGGCAACAAATTGTCGTGATTGCTCATCTTGAGTCAAGTACTTGGGGTTGATCTTGGAACCACTTGGTTTGGTGGATTTGGTGATTCGGTTAGTTGGATCGTGTCTGGGGGATGTCACATCCCGTCGGGTAGGGGACCGTCGTCCGGCGATCATGGCTTTCCGTCCAGGATCCATGGTTGAAGATTATAGATGCTGATGAGTATGATCTGGAAGGGAGACAAGTCAAGTGTTGAAGCATCAGGGAAACATCGATCTTATCAGTGAAAAGTGGATACCTTCATTGGAAAATCCTTATCGGCAGGAACGCCTTGAGTCGCGCGAGCACGTGACGCAATACAACATCTCACTTACATGAACTGAAGTGAATGGGCCATGTTATCGTACAACGTGGATCTTTAAAGATGGGGGTTTCGTTTACTTGTTTCTTGATCGCTCTTGTTACGGCGGTCTCATGTTGAATTTTTGGCTTCTATTCTCTAAGTAGGGGTCGAACGGTTTTTGACGCCATCATTCCAGCCATCAAACGTGACCTACAGTCGAGATATAGTGCGAGTAGTAATCAGTCATTGGGCAACAATCGAAGTAAAACAACAACTTTTGGTCTTATGAATGTCATGGGACTCTGTTTACGGATATAGCTGTTTATGAGCCTATCTGTTATCTTCGATCATATGACATTATCGCTTCGTCTTTGAGGGTTCCTTGACATCATAGGATATTTGAAACTGGAGTCAGTAATACCAGCGGCTTGACATCTGTTAACAACTACTAGGCTATTATAGCTTTATGGGAATAGTCTCTTCATTATACGTTTTGTCCACTCAAAACTGAACAACATCATGTTCGTCGACATGCGCTGCTGTCGCGATACCTACAAACTTCATCCTCATGGAACAACTTACCCTGTGTCACCTCGACAACCTCAACCTCAATCACCAACACAACCCATCACCGCACAAGTTCATGAAAGTCCAGACCAACATAACATCATTCATAACGCTAATATTCACACCAATGAGAGCCATCAAATACATCAATTGAGTTAATTATCCTTGTTCAAGCTTGAAAAAGAAAA